TTCATCATCGTCTTCATCTTCATCATCGTCTTCTTCTTCATCTTCATCATCGTCTTCATCATCATCTTCATCATCGTCTTCATCGTCTTCATCATCATCTTCATCATCATCTTCTTCTTCATCATCGTCTTCATCATCATCTTCTTCATCATCTTCATCTTCTTCATCTTCATCATCATCATCTTCATCTTCATCATCATCATCATCTTCTTCATCTTCATCATCTTCATCATCTTCATCATCTTCTTCTAATTCATACTCATCATTATCTTCATATTCAATGTCATTTTCTTCTTCGTTACCATTTTCTTCTAATTCGATTTCATCATAATTATTTAATTCAAGGTCTTCTTCAGCATTAGTGAATGTTAAAATAAAAGCAATTACTACAAAGAACAATAACTTCATAAAAATATATCTTTTTTAAGATCTTTTTCTAATTTTTTTTGGTTATTGATTTTTAGAACATGAAAAAGAAAATTCTTTTAATTTTTTTTATAGAGGAAAAACTAAATTTATGAATTTTGTTTTTCCAGAGCAAATAATAAAGAAAAAAGTTGATTCAGAAGTTTGTACATATTTCCACCAATTTTTTTAATGGTACTCAGCAATAGGGAAATACAAAGGTATTAGTTAAATGGAAAGGGTTATTACCATCAGAAAATAGTTGGGTTTCGATATCAGATATTCCTTTTAGAGATATTCATCAAGAAATAGAAAATACTCAACTATTTCGTATTTCAAAAGGACTGGTTATTATCAAAATCATAGCAGAGACAGAGTATAATAATCAAAAATATATACTAGTTGAATGGAATGATAGAACAACAACATATGTAACGATTTCTTTTTTGATAGAACATTTTCCTTTTCTTCTGTTTGAGGCATGTTGTCATACCAAAAAATGAAATTTAAATGTCATATATTTAATTTACGCCTTTATCTATAAGAGAAAAATTTTGATATTTCTTTTTTATTAATTCATTGAATAATTCCATAAATTTTTTAAATAAAAACAAAGATACTCAATAAGGTCAACGTTTTAAAGAAAAAAGGGTGGTAAAAATATGATATGCTAATTTGTCCTCTGGTTCAAAAAGAGATATATACAAATTAGAATTTTATTTAAGACATTTTTTTTAAAAATAACTACAGTATTATTATCAGTGGTTTATGAAATTTATTTTTGGTTTAATCAATAAGTCTTCTTACTAAGTCTCTTTTCAAATCATAAAACAATTAAATAAACTTTGTATTATAATAATTAGTAAATGAGACTTATTCTGTAAAATAATAAGTATATATGTTAGATAAAATGATTATAAGAGAAATAAAAGGAGTGCTATTATAAAAGAAGAAAAGACTGAATAAAGTCTATTTCATAAAATAATAAGAGAATAATAAATTGTTTCATTGACAATTCTATGATTTAGAATAAGTATGAAAAAGTTAGAGCTGATTATTTATTTAGTTCATTAAAAAGAATACAAAAGAAAATAACTAAGAAGTTGTTATTATCATTCTGATAATCCAAAAATAGCAATTTATAAAGAGTTAATGAATTGATATTATTCTAAATAATAACTTAACATGACTTATCTTTTAGAAAAGGGACATATTTTTTGCTTGGGAAAATTTAAGGTTAAATAATGAGCTGGTACTGTTTAAATCTTTTTATTCAATGACTATAATTTTTATTTACTCTATTATGTTAATAGTATTATTAGGAACAAGCACAATCTTCTTATCTTTTAAATGATAATACCAACAAAGTTGACTAAATTTAGTTTTATTGTAACTTCTAACAAAAACAATAATTCTTCTTGAAATAACATTTTTAAAAAATTTAATATGTTACTTAGATCAGATGAAATGACAGTTATTCGTTATGAATTAACCAAATAATAAATTGGTCTATATTTAGTGTCCTTTTATTCTTTAATTATTATATTTTATACTTAAAAACAGTTTTTAGAAGGGGTTTAGTTAATGAATTTGATTATTAATTGAATAAACTAATTTTAGCATATTTTTGATATAGAAGTAATTGAAACAATTTTATAAACTTCTTTTAGTTGTATATGTATTTTATTAAATAATACTAGAATAATAACATCTGATATACATGTTACATACTACCATCAAAAAATAAACCTAATAGCTTTGGAGATTGTTTGTTTTTTAAACAACCTCGGTTTTTAAACTTCTTCTCAATATTTTTAAATCTATTATTTAATTCTTTTCACGTGCTTGATTATTTATAAGAGTCTTATATTTTCTTTTCATTTTTAAGTATAATTGAAACAATATAGTCCTATTTAAAAATAAACAAATGAATTAAAATAAACTGAATACATTAGCAACATATTGTTAATTTTTATAGTTATCATATTCAGAATTCTTTAATATGAGAAACCAAAGTTGGATTATGACATTTTTTGATCATAAATTCATTTACATTTGGACTTATTGTAATTCTTCTTGCCTCTTCTTCACTTATAACTTTGTCATTAACAACATGGACAAAACTATTATGAGGAGGTGTATGAGTAATAATTGATTTTATTTCATCATCTATTTCCATATCATCATTAACAGAAAATGGATATTCTATAAAGTTTGGTACAGAAAAATGTCTAAATACTGATTTATGAGGGGTGTGTTGGAAAGAACCATTTTCATTAGAAACAGAAGTATTAGAAAGGCTTTCAGTAGATGAGGACATGTTGGATTAATTGATAGTAATTGCAGTTCATTTAAATTCCAGGAAAAGTCAATGAAGTTCCAAATTAATATAGACTTAAAAGTTGAGTTGAGACTTTCCAATAATTTCATAGCATTTTCACTCGAAATAAGTTTGCTTTGGTTCAAAAATATAAAAAGAATGAATAAAACAAAAAAATGTTCTTGACTTCAATAGCTCTTTATTTGATTCTCTTTTTATTTTTTATCAAATTCATCAACATAAGTTTTTATTTATTAATCAAAGAATTATTTTCAATTTATTCTAGATTATCTAAAACTGTTCCGTGTCTTTTTTTAAAAATAGAAGTTGATTGCTAAAAATATGAATTAATATTTAGTCTTCTAATTTTTAACCATCAAACCTGTTTCAAGAAAGTTATGACTCTTTTCATTATAATTTGGATTATCCCTTTAAATAGAACACTAAATAATGATCCTACTATACGAATCTTATTTTGAGATGATTGCTTTTTTTATGAAGTTAAACTAAGAACTAACCAAATAAAGAGAAATCTCAAGAGTATCTAACATCCTTTTATGAAATGAAAATTGGTATATTTAAAGTAATATTTATATAAGTCTAATGAAATAGAAATGTTTTAATTATAACTTCTAATATTAGACCCTACACTTCATTTTTCACAAGTTCAATGCCACACATATCCCTTTTGATTCATGGTCTTGAAAATAATAAAATAAGTCAACTGACGAAGAGAGAGCTATTCAGTCCCAATAGTATATTTACAAAATATCATTATAATAAATTATAATATAAAATTAAACATTCAGCAATTTTTAATAAATTGATCTGCAGTTAAACTATTAATTATTTTGTCTTCAAAATAATATCCTCTCCTGTTCTACAATCAATTACTTTTGTTTATAAATGTGCTATAATTAAACTAAAAAGTAAAAAATAATCTTTACCATTTAAACTTAACAATTAATAAAAACATTTTACCATTCAATGTTTTATCACCTGTTTTCTTTGTATTTTTAAATGGAAGTAGAAATATTTTAGACTTTATTTAAAATAAAATACAAATGAGAGTTTATAAATAAGAAATTTTTATTTCATGAAAAGTTCCATCATGTTCAGTTATATATGATATCAATCTTCATTTGTCTTCTAACAAATGATAGTGTTGTTTTTCATAACAACAATTTGAAAAACTGCTATTTTTGTACTATTAAAAGATGTTTATTTGGGAAAAAGATAGCTTTTTCATAATCTTTATTTTCCTTCAAACAATTCTCTTTAACTTAATAGACCAAGAAAAAAACAATTTAAAACAAGTTTTATTTATTTTAAATTTTTACTCTAATTTTTCTTTAAGGAAAAGTTGCAATAACTTTCATTCCTTATTCTAAATAATTATCACAATAATAATCATTAAGTTTCAAATTTTTCAGCATTACACTCATCAATAACATTAAAACTTCTAATTATTTTTTTTTATTTAACATTAATGATTTATATTTATTAACATGTTAAATACTTAACAATATATCAACATTCAATTATTAAATCCCTCATTATTTAATTAATTAAAAATTCCAATTAAAAGATACGAATTACCAAACAATCAATTACATTCACATTGTGACAATAAATCTTTTAATGAAGAATTACCTAAATAAGTCTTTTTAATTCCGATAACGCGTGGATTAAAATTTATTTGGAACAAAGAACGAATTGTTGATTGAGAAACAATATCATCATACAGTTTAAATGACTTAGTAATTGAACATGTTTTTAAAACATCACTCAACACATCAACACTATCAGTTGTTTCACTATTCATATGTTTATATCTCAAAATAAGAACAACTGAAATTTCATCTTTTTTTATAGCCCTCAGTATTTGATTGAGTCCCATTAAACAATATTTCTTTAGTATATCTGCATGTTCTTTTGTTCCACCTGAAATAACCTTTTCTCCTGCTACGAATCGAACAGTACTTAATCCTTTAATAACATGTAATGTTGGTAAGACTTCTTGACTTCCAACAACATGTTTAAGAGGTCGAGAGCGTTTAGGTTTAACTAGTGTTTTTTTATTGTCTATTTCTTTCTTTAATTCATTTCTTTTTAAGAGTTTAGGTTTACAAAGATATTCATCTGTTGAAGTAATTTTTTCTTCATGACGTTGCATAATTATGAAAAATAAGTCTTTCAATTCTTTTCTTTTTTTGTTTTTCTTATTAAATAATTATAAATATAATTAATTTTATTATTAATAAATTAAGTTTATAAAAAACACGACATCAAGAGGTGGCAATTCAATGGTTAAAGATCAAATACCCTTTTAGTTAAAGTAATCTACAACCAATGGAAAACAACTGTATTGTTTCTATCACTAAATACCTTACATCTATTAAAGATGCTATTAATTTAATACAAGTTAATAAAAAATATCAACAAGGAGTTTTATCTTTAACTACTACTCCATTTTATAAAGAAAAAGATGTAAAGAAAGAGATAGAACTATTTAGTAATGCCACAACCATTACCTGTGATTATACTTGTATTCCATTAAATGACTCAAAACTAATTATTCATCAAACAGATAGTTTATACTCAAGATGTTCATTATTACAAGCCGCTAAAAGAATTGAGAAAATTACAATGGACATTTCTGAATTTAATAAAAATACATGGAAATTAATGCCATTAAAATTACTTATAATTAACTGTATTGAAGAATTAAATGGTTCAAAAACATCTCAAAATCCATATCCATTTCAACAAACCATAAATCTTCCAAATTGTATTGTAAGAATTATTTGTGATATTTCACAATTAGATAATGTAATGAATAACCTTCCAAAACAAAAATTACCTAAAAATTGTTTATTAGAAGTACATAATGGTCCAATTATTACTCTATATCGTAATGATGAATGGGTTTTTGGGTTTAAAAATGAATTTATCACAATGCATATGCAAGATCTTAAACCATTTATTGAAAAAGCTGATCAATATGCAGTTGAAAATATTAGAATTATAGATTTTATTAATCCAGAAGAACCAGCAGAACCATCAAATTTCTCTATTTCACTTTCTGTTAAGAAATTAATTCTTCAAGACCTTAATTGCCCAATTATTGAACTTCCAAATTCATTAGAAGAATTAACTATTACAAATTGTTCTGTTACTTCTCTTCAATTAAACCAAAGTAATTTAAAAAAAGTAATTATTGAACAATGTGCCGATCTAAAAACATTAATTATAACTTCCCCAATTATTGAATGTGAAGCAGTTTATCTTAAATCATTACAAACTTTACAACTCCCTAATTCTCTTTATTCATTAAAATTAAATAATTCTTCTCTACCAATTAAATCTTTTCCACCTAATCTTCAATATCTTTCTCTTCCTTCTATTAAACAATTAACTCAATTAGAATTTCCTCAACATTTAAAAGAGTTAAACATTAATTCTTGTTTTATTGTTGATCTTCCTGAATTAAATGTTAATTCTATTATATTTTTTCAATGTACTTTTGCAAAGAAAATATTTGTTAAAGCTAATTCTATTACATTAAATGGATGTTATTTTGTTTCAAATTTAGATATTGACTGTGATTCAATTTTTATTACTGGATGTACTACTTCTACTTCTTCTCAGGTTGATACTCTAATTGAATACAATACAAACAATGCAAAAGTTGTTCATATTTCATCATTTAATGGAATAAATAAATTAATAGCACACTCATGTAAAGAATTAAAATTGGTAAATAACTCTCAATTATCAGAAGTTGATGCTGAATGTGTTACTTCTTTACAACTCATTCATACTAATATCACTAAAACAACAATAAATAATTTAGAGTCATTTGATATTGATAATAATTCTTATCTTCCTCAATTTTATAAAAAAGGAAGCGGATCTTTACGTTTAGAAAAATGTAAATTTGATTGTAATTCACAAATTCTTAACTCAATGATAGATATTTCATTAAATGAAGTTGATGTAGAAAGTATTAATATTAGTACTTGTAAAGGAGCTCGTTTTTATAATTGTCCAACATTAAAAACTCTTTCAATAAAGGAAGCAGAAGTTGTTATTTTAGTAAATTTACCATTATTACAATCAATTTCATTACCAAAATCTTTAAAAAATATTGTTATTAATAATTGTCCAAATATTATTAATATCCCTTTACCTTTTACTTCTTCATTGACTGTAGATTATAATGGCTCTTTTAAAGCATCAGAGCAAATTCAAATAAGAAGAGTTAATGAACATGAAATTACAGTTGATTCTTATTGTGTTCAATTAGAAGATATTTCAAATTCAAAAGTTATTCTTGGAAAGAATGTTCATGTAATTATTGGCGTAGGTCTTAACAATGTATCATTTATTAATCTTGAAGAAAGTAATGTTCAATCTTTTGATTTAAGTATGTCAAATAATATGAGTCTTACATTCCCACAATCCCTTACATTAATTAATATTATTGGCTGTCAGTCTGTTCTTTGTACTAATATTTCTTCTTGTCTTCTTGTACCTGAACGAATTAGAAAAGATTATTCTTCAAATAAATATGAAGAAATTCCAAAAGATAAATGTGTTATTTGTTAGTCAAAGAAATTTCAACACTTAATTTATTAAACTATAAAACACTTTTATTTTAAATAAAATTTAATTAAAAAACTTTTTTAATTATTGGTTTCTGTAATGGTTTCACTTGTATTTTCTTCTTCATTATTATTTTCAGTTTGTACTTCAGCAAATCCAGAAGAAGTAGCTGTGGCTTGTGCATGAATTCCAAAATTGGACTCAATATTGGCTTGGTTTTGAGCTTCAGTAATATCTTCAATAGATTGTCCTTCAGCAGCTGCTTTTGCAACTACATTAGCTTCAGCAATAGCTGTCTCTGAAACTCCAGTTTTTGGAGAAGCATAGTCTTCTGTTGGTGTAACAACAGGTTGTCCAGATTGATCTACTACTGTAGAAGAAGATGGTTTTGATGAATCTGAATCTGAGTCTGCTCCTAAATCTGATCCACCATTTCTGTTATTGTTAACGTTGTTAATATTAATGGATGGCATAGTGATTGATGGTATGCTACTTACACTTGATGCTGCACTAGAAGCAGAACTTGCTGCAGCACTACCAGAAGAACCTTGGATGATAATTGGTGCTTGTGTGGCTGGAGCGGTTTGAATAATTTGTGGTGAAAAAGTTTGTTGTTGTTGTTGCTGTTGTTGTGGATAATAAGAAGGAGTAACTGGTGTGACTGGGTTAACAGTAGGAGTAACAGGTTCAGAAGGTGTGACTGGATTAACAGTAGGAGTGACTGGTTCAGAAGGTGTGACTGGAGTTACTGGTGTAATTTGTATAACTGGACTAGATGGGGTCGTTGGATTAACAACAGGAGTGACTGGGATAGTAGGAGTAACTTGTGTATATGGAACATTATAGCCACCAATATTATTATTGAAGACAGGATTGACATTAACACTAGAACTACTAGTACCAACAGAGCCACTAGTACCAGCACTTCCACTACCTCCTACTCCAGTAATGCTTGTGCTTAAAGAAGTTTCAATGAATGAAGTTGATGAAGAACCAGAAGAAGGACTAGTGGTTAACCCAGGCTTTATGTGTCCATGTTGACATTTCTTACAATGACTGTAATAGTGAGTATGAGGAGGGTTTGTGTGTTTACAACATGAACAATTGCAACATTCTTTCCAATATCTTCTTTTCATAAGTTTATAAAATTCTCTTCTCTTTTTAGGAAGTTTAATTTTAGAAAGGTATTTTAGCAATTTCTTATCCATAAATGATGCCCATTTCTTTTTCCAAACTTTTGATATATCCTTTCCTTTCTTAGCAAGGGCTGCCATCTTAATTGCCATCTTAGCACCAGATTTAAAGATAATACTTCGGATAAGCTTTTTATTTTTCTTAATGAATTTTTTATCTTTAATTTTAGCTAACTCTTTAAGAACTTTCTTTGGGGCGTTTTTGGTAACTTTAGATAACTTTTTAAGTTCAGAAATAAGTTTTCTTTCAGCCTTTTTCTTTTGAGCTTTTAATTTAGTTTTATCAATACTATTCTTTCGCTTTTCTTTTTCTAACTTTCTCTTTTCTTTTTCTGTTTTTCTTTCTTCTTTTTTAGCTACTTTTCGTGATTTTTTAGCTTCTTTTATTGCTTTTCTATTTTCTTTTTTAATTTTTCTCTCTTCTTTCCTTATTTTACGTTCTTCTTTTTTAGCAAGGCGACTAGCTTTCTTTTGTTCTTTTATTGCTTTTCTATTCTCTTTTTCTAATTTTCTCTTTTCTTTTTGAGCTTTTCTTTGTTGTTTTAATACCTTTCTTTTCTCTTTGTAAGCTTTTCTTGTTTCTTTATTAAATCTTTTTTGTGCTTTAGTACGTCTACTATCCTTTTTAATTGTTCTAGAAACACCAACTCTAGTACGTCTAGAAGAACTTCTTGATGAACTACGAGATGAACTACGTGAAGACCTTCTTGATGAGCTACGTGAAGACTTTCTTGATGAAGCTCTTACCCTTCTTGCCTCTTCATCATCTCCATAATCATCTTCTAGTTCATCAATATCTTCTAAGTCTTCATCATAGTCTTCGTCATATTCGAAGTCTTCATCGAACACATCATCAAAATCGACACTATCGACAAAAACATCATCTTCATATGCTAATGAAACTGTTAAGCAGAGTAACAGTAATAAGCCTTTCATTAATATTATAGTTTTTTCAGTTTCTCTTTTGTTGTTCTTGAGTTTTACTCAAATAATTGTTTCATTTTTAACAATATCTTTTACTCCATAAATATCTCCTTTTCCCAATATTTTTCTTATATCTTTCGTCATTTAAACTCAAAAGATTTACGTTAGAACTCATTATATGAAACATTCATTATTCTTTTTTAAAGTTCTGTATGTTAATATTCTACATAACTATTTTTACATGCATTTTTTGTTGTTTGGTAGAAATTTATTTGAATTCATTAAAATTTAATTCTTTTTCTCTTATTTGATTATTTCAGAAAATTCATAATTAAAAAATATAACTTATTGTATAATACTTTTTGTTTTGTATTTTATAATTTAAGTTATTGAAAAAAGTTTATAACAAACAGGTTTGAAGATGGAATGTCATAGATACTAAACACAAATATTAATACAAAACAAAAAATGA